AATTTACGGTTTTTAAGTTTGGTTTGATAGTGATGTTAAGATACTTCTCATAATAATAATAATAATAATAATAATAATAATAATAATATATATATATATATATATATATATATATATATATATACATATATATATATATATATAAATATATATATATATATATATATGTATATATATATATATATATATATATATGTATATATATATATAAATATATATATATATATATATATTTATATATATATATATATATATATATATATATATATATATATATATATATATATATATATATATGTATATATATATATATATATATATATATATATATATATATATATATATATATATATATATATATATATATATATATATATATATATATATATATATATATATATATATATATATATATATATATATATATATATATATATATATATATATATATATATATATATATATATATATATATATAAACTTTTGAAATTGGTTGCTCAACAATGATATAAATTTTAAAACAGTAGTTTTTAAGTTAAAAAAAATTTATTTTGATAAATGCATTTTTTTAAGGTCTCTTTCATTTATAGTGGTGATAGTCTAATATACATTGACTCTGTTTCAATATCAATTGATGGTAAGAATTTAGCTGTACCTTTGTTGAGAAGATTTTTGATTATTTTTGATAATGGTGTGCATTTAAATGTTTTTAATATTCAAAATTTTTATTTTAGGTATCATTGCCAGTTGCTCATCAATAACTTCATCAAATAATTGTGGATTAAGTACTTCAGGGTCTTCTGAAAGGGGGTGGGTATTTTCAGGTTAGTCTTTAGCTTTTTTTTAATTTGCCATTTTTTTTTTTTTTTAAATTAAAAAAAAAATTTATTTGAAAATTTAATAAACAATAATAATAAACATAATATAATAATTAACAATAATGAATATTTTGTTTAGTTTAAAACAAAAGTTTAAAAGAAATTAATGAAGACAATTTTTTATATGTTTTTTAAATGTTAAAGATATTAAAATATCTTCTAAAAACATATTTGAAAAGTTTTTATGTTTTTTTTTGATTTATATATTAACACATAAGTTAATAGATTACTTTATAAATATTTTTATTATTTTCTTAAACAGCATAAATTGTGCAAAGCATTATTTATGCTGTTTTTTTCACGTGCGAAAATCATTATTATTTACCAATGACCAAGTTTGGATAAAGAAATTGAGTGGTTTGTTTGATGTAATTATGAGTGCATTTGATGGTGCGGAGGTTTGTGAACTAGTTGGAATTTTCCTTCTTTTCCAAATTTCCCAATTTTATAGCAAGCATGATTTAGAGTTGTATAGTGATGATGGCTTAGCTGTGTTCAAAAATGCAAGCGTTCCTAAATTAAGAAACATTTCACGCAAATATTTAAGTAAAACAGCCTTAGTATTTCTATCTAATCTAAAATGAAAATTGTTAATTACCTAGATGTAACATTGAACCTTAACAATAGTAGTTTCCAACCATATCACAAACCTGAGTTACATCCACTTAATATTTTAAAATAGTTGCCAACTTCAATTGAGCGTAGGTTATCAACCAATTCTTCAATTGTTTTTGAAGAATTGGTATCTTACAAAACAAATTATAAATTAGAATTTAATAAGATATTTTTAATGAAAAACAATTTGTTTTTCATTAAAAGTATCTTATTAAATTCTAATTTATAATTTGTTTTGTAAGATAGTAATAACTATTTGAAGGTAAAACAGTTTTTTTTTTTCTCAAAAATTTTTTAATGAAATATTTAGGAGCAAATTTTATATTTTAGCAACCATTGCTCCAGCAAAACAATATTTGAATGAGAATCAATAAAAATTAATTTTGGATTTAGTTAAACAAAAAAACTTACAGAAGTATCAAAAAAGAGTTTGAACTATCAAAAAATGGAGTTTGACGTTCCACTATTTCAAACATTGCATTAAAGTTTGTAAGTCACTAAACTGTAAAGATTTCGAAGGGATGTGAGTGCAAATGTAAGACTACCATCAAAGAAGATCACTTGATTGTAAGATTATTCAAGAAAAATAGATTCGAGTCATCCAGAAAAGTTGTAAAATTACACTGGAACCAAAATAAATGATAAAACAGTCCATAATCGTTTATGTGAAAATGGGTTTAAAAGTTACACACCATGTAAAAAAATATTTTTGACACAGCATCATAAGAAAAAACTATTATTATTTACTAAAACTTATGTTAATATGCCAATTTTATTTTGGAAAAAAATACTGCGGTTGGATAAATCCAAATTTAGTTTGGTACATTCTGAAGGTAAACAAAATGTTTGGAGAAAAAACTGATGATGCTGCATGGAAGGAGCCGTAAAACATAGAGATGGTAATATAATGGTATGGGGCTGTATGTCATGGAATGGTGTTGAAAATCTTGAATTTATCAAAGATACATTGAGTTCGAATATATACATTGATAATTTGAAAAATAATTTGACTTGATCAGCATGTAAATTTGGTAGAAATTTTATATTTCAAAAGATTTGGTAGAAATTTTATATTTCAACATGGCAACGGTTCAAAACTTAAGTAAAAAAAAAAACGAATTTTTTAAATCAAATTATTAAATGGCCAGCACAAAGTCCAAATATAAATTCTATCAAAAATTTATTGTCGATTTTAGATAAACAAATAGGTAAATGTCAATTAAAGAGAAAGGAAAAATAAGAAACTACTGTTACAAAGGTTTAGGATGAAATAAGTTTTCATATTACAAAAAAATTAGTATAAAGGCTTAAATGCTATTATTAAAGCTAAAGGAGGTCACATAAAATGTTAATTCTACGATAAGTTTTCTTAATAAACTATTGATTTAATATGTTCCATTATTTTTTTCTAGAGAATTTAGTCAAAAAAATGATGTTTACATATTATTATATATGATTTTGAAAAATCTAAAAGTACTTTTAAATGCTTTTTTTTTTAGAAAAATGATACTAACAACTATCTAAAAAAATCATTTACTAAACAAAAAGTTATTTTCTTATGAACAAACTTGCAATTTTGATTAAAATTTGCCATTTAGAATGGTTGTCTTATTATTTTTTACCAAAACTATTATCGCTAACAGAACCACCGCCATGCTTGACTGTAGCCACAGTAAAATGTGGATCGAATTCTTCCTTGGGTGTTCTCCATACCATTACTTCTCCATCAGACCCGAACAAATTAAATTTCGATTCATCGGATCAAATGACAGTTTCCCAAAACCTTATCAGCTTGTTCAACATTGCTTTTGCGTATTTCAGTTGTTTAACTCAATTGATTTTGTTGACTAATGGTTTTTTTTGTGCTACACGACCATAAAGTCCAGCTTCGTGAAGTCTATTTCGAATGGTATTGGCGTGTAATATTATTCCTAGTTCGGTCTTGACCTCGATTTTCACAGCATTGGCAGATTTACATCGATCGGACTTAACTTTGCGTACTATCGTTTCGGTTGTTTTCTTTTTTCGACCTTGTCCGAATAAATTAGCGATACATTTCGTCTGTTTGTATTCCTTAATTATGTATTGTACTGTCTCTTGAGGAAGTAATATCTTAGCAGCAATTTCTCGTTGAGAATCACCGTTTTGATAGTGCTGAATTACTAAAGCTCGAAGGTCATTACTATGTTCTTTCTTTTTAGGTGCCATTTTAGTAAATTATCATTTAGTGAAGAAATCCGCAAGTATTTATACTATGATTAGTGGTTTTATATACTATTATGGTTCGATATAGCGTCGACAGAATTCTATAACATTCTGAAAAAAACATGAAAGTTCTAGAACTTTTTGAAAGTATTATTTTCTTTTCTTTTCTCTGGGCCAATAATAATTTTTGTACATAATATTTGAACAAACTTATACTTATACTCTCAATAAAACCAGAACGAAAGTAATTGAAAAGCTGAAACTTGTTGTATATATACTAGTGATAACAGACGACACGATGATACTAACACTTCACAGTGTCACGAAATGGTCATCAACCTTAACCTCATGTCCCGAGAAAACCCTTTGGTGGGATGATAGCCCACATATAGTAGATCACTTAGATATAAATTTGGAAATCGAACTATGACGTCTGAGAGAGATATTTTAATTTTTATTTTCTTCAATTCTGGCATATCAAAATTTAAACGAGATGATTGGAATTTGGCATTTTTCAGTATTTATAAAGCAAAAAGTTAATTTTCCCATATATTTCTATAAGACATATAAACAAAAACATATTTTACAATAAAATTGATCCTTTTTATTCTAAAATGAATGTTTGCTGTTGAAATCAATCACACAATTCAGAAGCTTTGATTCATATTCTGGATGGTTTCTTTCCCGTTTGTAACGCTGCCAATGGGAACTGAAGTCGTGATGAAGAGATTCTGTAGCTTGCTCTGAGAAAATGCCAAGACTAGAATTGTGTCTAAGGATGAAATCCTTCAGGTGGAAAAACACCGCATGTGCTTTGGAAGTGACTGAAGTATTTGGCAACTTCAGGTACGACTCCTGAAACTGTAAAATTTTTTGTTCAAAATTGGGGCTCAAGTGATTTCCAAAGCAAGCATTCACCACTGAGTCAAAATGTCTCAATGAATCAACAAATGGCACAGCAAGAAAAAATGAGCTTTGCTCAGCTAAACTTTGAAGGCGATCAGTGTTTTTCAAGAGCTTGCGGCAGTCATTCCCTGCAAATTGGCCACCATGAAAAGACTGCTCTTGAATATGAAGGGCTGCTGGCCATTCCTTTGCTGCGGGCCAAATCTGGCATAAACTTTTGTAGAGATGGTTAACGACTCCAAGAAGCAGATGAAGTTCCATGGGAGGAATGATGAGTCATTATGGGTTCATGGATGACGTTTTTGAAGTCTTTTGCTCTCCTTGCATTGGCACCACTGCTTTGAAACTGCAGAAAGTTTTCTTGAATTGAACCAAGTGTTGAGACTTCCAGAGCGACTCAAATCTTTCGATTCTGCATCTCACCATGAAAAAGGATGTGCACTTGCATGGGACTGAAGACCAAAAACAAGATTGGCGACTTTCATGTCACAAGAGATTATGTAGGAAAGTTTGTGAAGTTGAAGAGAAGAAATTATGCTTTTCAAGTTGTCATAACTCTCTGGCAGATCTTCTGAAATTGCCACCAGAAGTTGCCGTTTGACTCCTGTGTCTTTAAGCCCTCGTTTTGGTGGTGGAGAATTTGAATCTGTGTTTCTGGCAATGATTCCAAGAGATATTTTCAAAAACCCACCACCTCCATCAATGCCAATCTTCATCAGCGGATCTCTTGAAACATTCCTTACTTTGATAACGTGATTTGCAAGACTTCCTACATCTACGCAAAAAACAAGCAGTCGTGAAAGGTGCTGGTTATCATTCTTTGTAGAATCTTGTATGGCCTTAGTCTCAAAATGCTCAGAAAGAGATTTCCCGAAACTGACGAATTTTTCTCTGAAATTTTTTTCTACAATCCGGAGATTTGACAATTTAGTTCCAATTTGGACTCCAACCATGTCTTGTGCCGTGAGCTTGGGCACAGCAGGAAACAATTTTCTTGCACTTGATGGTCCTAAAGAACATTTATTGGCCGAGGTTAAAATTTTCTACATTTACATTTTAAAAGAAATTTATAAGTGGTTTATGCTTAAATCTATATTGCTTTACCTGGAATAACGGGAAAACGATTTCCTCCAAGTGGTTGACTTAGCCGAACAGTGCCATGAGGTGATGGAGTTTTATTAGCAATTGTTAATGATGTTACCCTCTCTGCTGCAATGCGATCCCTTGAAGGAACTTCCACTAAATTTTGCCTTAATGTTCCTGTTGTGCAATTGTGAGACAATCCACGACCAATCACAGAGAAGCAATCAGAGCACCTTTTTTCAATGCTTGAATTTTCTTTGGGTTTCGGTGGTTCCAAAGGATGACGCTGGTTTATATTTGTCCTTGCAGTTTGACAAATCAAACAATTACAAGGAATATTTGTTGCAGCACGCTGAACTGAGATGGTGCTGAAATCAAAGAGTCTTGGGATAGGTGCATCCTCTCCTTCTTCTTGTCTGCGAATAGCCAAACAACATCTTTCACAAATTCCACAAGGGATTTGAAAGTTTGAAAAATCAAGCTCAATTTTGAGGACTGTGCGAATTTTCTCCACTAAAAAACTTGTGGTTTCTCAATTTGCCTTCTTCAAACATAGGAAACAAACACATTTTCGGTTTTCTTCATGAGTTTTAGCTTTGTTAGGCATTTTATCAAACTTTCAATGTGTCTTATTTGAAAAAAACTAAATGTGCACCCTTTTCCGGGAGTTAGCAAAATTGAAAAACAAACAAAAAATAATAATGATTTCAAAAAACCTGCTCCAATTAGTTATATAATGTCTTAAATAGTACTCTAAGCAATGTAACAACAAAAATGCCAAATTCCTATCATCTTATTTAAATTTTGATATGCCAGAATTGAAGAAAATAAAAACTAAAATATCTCTCTCGGACGTCATAGTTCGATTTCCAAATTTATATCTAAGTGATCTACTATATGTGGGCTATCATCCCACCAAAGGGTTTTCTCTGGACATGAGGTTAAGGTTGATGGTCATTTCGTGACACTGTGACTTAGTAATTCTCTCCTATAGTTCTTATATGCCAGCAAAAATAAAGTAGTTATGCAAAGGTAGGCCAAAAATTTTTGGACTCACTGTATATTACTTAAAATTAGAAAAAATGAGGTCTGAAATAATTTGCTGAACTCGATCTTTTAGAGGTCAATATCAGGTCAGCAAAAAAAAATTTAATACAAATGTCTCACCATAAAACATAAAAGCAAGGTGGCAACTTTTTGCCAACCTCAAACAATTTTTAGATTGGTATCGCCGAATGCTGACCCTAATTGTGAGGGCTGATATATATATATATATATATATATATATATATATATATATATATATATATATATATATATATATATATATATATACATATATATATATATATATATAATATATATATATATATACATATATATATATATATATATATATATATATATATATTTATATGTATATATGTATAGATATATATATGTATATATGTATACATATATATATATATATATATATATATATATATATATATATATATATATATATATATATATATATATATATATATATATATATATATATATATGTATATATATATACATATATATATATATATATATATATATATATATATATATATATATATATATATATATATATATATATATATATATATATATATATATATATATATATATATATATATATATATATATACAGTGGTGTACACTGGATTTTTAGATGTTTGAGTTTTGACACTTACACACATTTTGCAAACTCCAAACTTTTGTATGTTCATACTTAAGTCAAATGAGAATGTTTTGCCAAGAGTTGCGGTGATAAGAGCTTGGGGACAAAAAAAAAAAAACTGTATTAACACAGCTTTTAATTCAGTTTCAGTAATGAAGGGAACAAAACTTTTTTTCTAAATTTTTTAAAATTTAAATTTAAGTTTTTAATACAGTTTCAAACTAAGTTATTTAGCTCATATTAAGATATTAAAATTATTATTAGATATTAAAATTATTATTAAAATATTAGGTTCTATTAAGATTATATCAACTTTTGAAATAGTGCGAACACCTTTTTGACCCCAATATACTAGTTCCTCGGTCAAAATATTTGTGTTGATGGGCCTAAGACATTCATGGCAGTCTTGAGAAATTCTGGTCCTTGATTAGTATCAACTGTGTTACATCTTTGTATTACATTTGTTTACTAAGTAATAACTGTTTATATCTGTTTATGATACTTTTCTTATCTATGTACTTACTTATCTATAAAAGTCAAAATATTTTATATTAAAAAACTTATATTAAAAGAAAGCATTAAAACATAAATTTTAAATAAAATTGCTTGTTTAGAAAATGCTCTAAAGAATAAACATAATGCATAACTTTTTAATGTTAATTTAATGACTTTTTAAGTAATAAAAAATTTAGTTAATAAATCATGCATAATGTATTATTAAAATATTTTGTCTACCATGTTAAAAAACCTATAAAAAAAAACTAATAACAAAAAAATTAGTAAAAAAAAACATGAATCATAAATTTTTTAATGTTTTATGAAATACCCTGTAAAGGAGTAACAGAAGTAATCAGCCTTAAAAGTATAAATAACATTAATTTATTGGTATGCATTATTTGATATTGTTATGTAATTTTTATTGCTCTAATAAATATATACCATGTTTACTTTTAGCCTCTGGTTTAACTTGGTATAGTAGTTCTGGGTTCAGCATTGTACAAACAAGTTTTGTGTATCTTGGAGGGGTCTTAACAGGATCAATTAAATTTTCTGCAACGAACGAAAATGTTACGCTAAGTAAGATTTTGTTGAAAATTAAGTTATTTTAAAGAAATTAGTGTTTCTAAGCATCTATAATTATTTATTCTGTATAATGTTTTAGTATTCATACTTAGTGATAAATTCTTATTAAAAATGAATACTAATATATAATATAATGGCTTGGTTACATTTATTGTACAAACAACAAAACCTATAATATTGTAGAAAATAATAAAAAACAGCATAAAACCATTATGTTAAATAGGTGTATCAAATTCTAATCAATGTGTAACCATATTTGTTACCATATTAATGAAAAATCTAAAGCAAATTCAAAAAAAATTTATCTGGAAATTTTTAGTTGTTGCAGTTCCACAAACATCTTTTACACAACAAATTACCACAACATCTTACACAATTGATTTAACTGCCTCTACTCAGTATACAACAGGACAAAGGTATATGGTATGTGTTTTATAAAGTTAACTTAAAAAAGATACTAAAAATATAAATTTATAAAATCTTGTAATATAATTAATAATATTAAGTTACATACATACATACATACAAACATACATACACAAATATTTATATATATATATATATATATATATATATATATATATATATATATATATATATATATGCATAAATATATATATATATATATATGCATATATATATATATATATATATATATATATATATATATATATATATATATATATATATATATATTATATATATATATATATATATATATATATAAAATATATATATAAGTGTTTCAATGTCATAACTTATGGTACGTGAATATATATATATATATATATATATATATATATATATATATATATATATATATATATATATATATGTATATATATGTTCAAAATATAAAGCATAAAACAACAGCTGTGTACAAGCTAAATTTTTTTTTCTTTGTAATATTTTGACCTGTTAATGCACAGATTGTCATCAGAAGTAAAGTATAATTCAAAAAATCATTACAAATATTACATAAAAACGTCAAAAAAGACATTAAAAAGAAGCCATAAATGACACGTAACAAAATAAAAATATAATTAACAAATATTATTCAAGTCTGTTTTTTTGGATAATATTTTAAAAAAGGGTTTCCAACTATTTGTATGTTATAGAGTAATAAATTTCAAGCGGTTCTCTAACTTTTTGTTATTCATATTCTGATTTTATTGCTAGAGTTTTCAGATTTGACCAATCAAACGTACCATTACATTCTCTACCCTGTTATATGGAAAAAATTTTAATGGCACAAGATACAGAACCTTTAAAAACACGTATCACTATTTTTGGATTAAGGTTTGATTTTGGTTTTATTTGTATATTAATGATAGCTGACTTTCAATGGATTTTGAAGTTATAGTATGAGTTGTTGGTTACAGTTATATCCAAAAAGTTTAACTCTTTTATTGTTTTCTTTTTCTGAAGTATATTTTATTGCTGGATCTTGTTTATTTAATCGAATCTTTTGTGACTGTCATCTACATATCTTTTGTAAGTCTTTGACGAAAAATGACAAGCTTCAGCAGTAATAAGAGCTTTTGTTTTTTAATGTTGCAAAAACGCCTCAGCAACTACAACCATTAAGGACAATCCTATAGGTCCCAAATTCGGTATAGATCTTATTTCATTTTTGTATAAAAATAACATTGGTTGAGGCAGAGTTCGATCATTTTATGTATATCACTAAGAGTTTATTTGGTGCTTTTTTTAAGATTGTCAATATCATTGTTTAAAATATCTATAATTATCGAAATTGCTCTATCAATTGGAATGGAGGGATATAACGCGACCACCTCAAAAGAAAACTTGAACTTCACTAGGATCAACTAACGAGTATTTTGCTTTATTGAAAAAAAAGGAGGAGTTTAATAATCTTGTTTTGTTTTTATTTAAAATTGGTTGTATAATTTTTACAAGATACTCTAATGATTATGGACGGGGTATCTATGTTAGAAACGACTGGTCACATTGGATAATTCTTTTCTGGTTTGTGGGCTTTTATGATTCCATATAAACATGGAGGGACGCAGTCAACAGGATACATTTTAAAATAAGTCTTGTTATCTAACTTTTTTTGTTTTCATAATTTGTATAATAATTTTTGGAATTTAGTCATAAAGGTTCAAGTCTGGTCATAGTTGATAGTTACTGAATGTTTAATTTCCTCTTCTAATTTAGAAAATGCATCCACCTCATTTATTAATACAAATTTGTCCTGTTCCTTTATCAAATGGATAAACTGCTAAAACATTCATTTTTTTCCTCAAATTATTTATTTAATTATTTAAATTCAAATTATTTAATTAATTTTTTCATCTGCTTTTGATCAATAATTTGTTTCTAACTGGTTTTCAACCAGTATTAATAAATGAGGTGGATGCATTTTCTAAATTAGAAGAGGAAATTAAACATTCAGTAACTATCAACTATGACCCGACTCGAACCTTTATGACTTAATTCCAAAAATTATTATACAAATTACAAAAACAAAAAAAGTTAGATTTTATTTTGTATATATATATATATATATATATATATATATATATATATATATATATATATATATATATATATATATATATACATATATATATATATATATATATATATATATATATATATATATATATATATATATATATATATATATATATATATATATATATATATATATATATATATATATATATATATATATACATTGATTACTGCTTGACAGCGACAAAGCATTGAGTCCATAAGCTTTGCAATCACTTTATTGTCGATTTTTTCCCATGCTTGTTTCAGATTTTTAAATAAATCAAGTTTGTTTGTTGGTTTACGACCTGAAATTTGTTGATCAAGGTGTTTCCATAGATGTTCAATAGAATTAAGGTCAGCACTTTGCGAAGACCATTCCATTAATCGAATTTTTTTAATCTTGAAAAAGTCTTTCACAAGAGTTGAAGTGTGCTTTGGGTCATGTTCCTGCTGAAATATTCATCCTCGAGGCATTTTGTCTTCAGCATGTTTTAAGGATGATTTGCCAAAATTTGCATTGATTAGCGCCTGGGAACAAAAAAAATCCTAAAAGTAGGCATCATCCGCCCAAATGTTAGGGGAATTGGTTTTTCTAAATATAAATTCTAATATCCTAAATTAGATGGTAATATCTTTAAGGTTCTAAATTTTTTTTGATAAATATTATGTTGTTTAGAAACTATACCCAGTTTAAATTTACAACCCCATGGTTTTGAGGGGGCTCTAAACATTAAAAACTAAAACTTTTGAACGTGATGATTTTTTGATCAAACTTTAAATATAGATACACATTTGAATTTTATCAGAAGTAACTTTTTTTTTTCGAAAAATTATTTCCCCTCTCAATTGGGCGGGTGATGCCTACTATTTAGGTATTTTGTTCCCAGGCTCAAATCAATCCAATTTTCGGCAAAGCATTCTTAAATGACATTAGTATGAATATAAAAAAGTTTGAAGTTTAGAACTTACCTGAAAGCTATTTAACTCAAGCATCAAAAAATTCTGGATCCGCTCCTGTTTAGAATATATTATCAAACAAACTTTAATACTATGGCTTAATCTGGGAGCCGTAAATCTTTTAAACTATTATTATTTGTTTACTTATAGATTTATAGAATTATAGTATATTCTTATTTTTTATTTAAAAAGTATGTATTTTTTATGTAAATGTAATTTTGTGTCTGTTTTTTATTCTAATGTAATCTTCTAAAGCAATTTTTACTATTTATTTTGTAAACAAAGACTTTCTACAATAATTGCGTTTTTAATGAATTTATTAATAATCATTAAAGTTAATAAAACTAATTATGTAATAAACATATAAGAAGTGTCTGGTTACTAAACACAAACATGCATACAAAGTAACTTGTGGATGAACAAGCACAGCGCCTGAGGTCACGTCAAAACACAAATATAAATAGCAAGTTATTAGATATAAAGAAAAGTTTTTAGATGTTGGTTAACTAACTCTAATTATATTAGCTTCAGTTGCCATTCTTAATGTTATACTTTTTTCTGCTTTAAATACTAATTAAAAATAAATAGCCCCGTCACTAAACATCATTAGCGATATTGTGAAGCAGTTTCGCTTCCTCGTCATAAAGTACCTTTAACCTTTTAAGTTCTATCTAGTTAATTTAATTTCTATAGTAATTTAATTATTTCATTTGTTCATCTTAGATTTTTAATTGTTCATCTTAGAAGAATTGTTTCAAATATGTTAAACTTTTCAAACTACGCGAAGCATAAAATAGTTAATAAAAAAGTTAATTTTCTTATTTATAAAATAGTTTAGCTTAGATAAAACTAAAACTTGCATTAGTTTTATTAGAATCTTGTTAAACTTTCTGGGGCCGGAAACTATTTTTTTATTGAATGTCTATTTATGTGCCACAGCGTAAAAATGACTAAACAAAAATGTCTTATTGGGTACTATTATTGCGAGGCCCGGGGCTATAGTCCCCTCTAATCCCAACCCTCCTTAATCTAGCACTGAAAATAAGACACAAGTTTATAAATAAAAATTATATTACAGTCTTTGTTAAATAAAGAACATTTGTACCCTTTTTAAACAATCGTAAGATGTAAAAAATTATGTTTTAAAAATATTTGTTCTAAACACAATTTATATATATATGCATATATATATATATATATATATATATATATATATATATATATATATATATATATATATATATATATATATATATATATATACATATTTATATATATGTATATATATATATTTAAATTAATTATATAATTATATAATTTTAATAATTTTAAAATTAAATCTTGCGATATTGAAGAGATCACTTGGCTGAGTGGATGATGTTATTGGCAGTGACAGCTGAGATCCGAGTTCGATTCCCAATCAAGTCCTATTTTACTTTTTCTGTTTAATGAGACACATCAAATAAAAATAAAATATACTTAAGGCAGACATTTTTTTCAGGCACCCCTCTTTAGTAAGTCCATAAAAAGCGAGTTACGCAAGAAGAGTAATATTGAAAACAAAGCTTAAAACCCAGTGCCAAATGTAGGCTACCCATACCCCATAATTAGAGGGGGTGGGGTGTTGTGGGGGAGCAGCAAATTTTATTCCCCTTTTGCTATTTTATTTTATCAAAACCTAGCGGTAAAATTTGGAAGATTTTGAGACTCTAATGACACGTTTTTTTATTTTGAGGGGATAGGGGTCTCCGACCTATTAACCATTGTACTGCTAAAACCTGTTTTTTGAAATCTCAAAAAACAGGTTTCAAAAAATAGGCAACCTATTCTTTGCGCATGCATGCACACATGCCACTCCTTATATACTGGCCCTGAGTATACTTAGGGCCAGAAAATTAGAAAATTCTGTAAAAGTTTCTGGTCTTCAAATTTTGTTTTTCTTGAAAACCATTTTTGCGCGTCAATTCGTAACAGTTTAACAAGAAACTTAAAATTTAAAAACCAGAATTTTTTATGGAAATTTCAATTCGCGATCACTTAATTCGCCCCTTGAATTATGCAAACTCCAAACTTAAGTATGTTTATACCTATGCCAAATGAGGAGACCTTGTAAAAAATTGATATGGCGGAGAGCTGTCAACAAATAGCCCTGAAACATTTTCCCCCTGCTATAACATGAGGGCATTTACTGTAGTAAAATTTTTAACTTAACAATCTAAAATTAAATTCATATATATATATATAAATATTAAATTTGTATATATATATATATATATAAATATTAAATTCGTATATATATAAATATTAAATTCGTATATATATATATATATATATATATATATATATATATATATATATATATATATATATATATATATATATATATATATATATATATATATATACATATATAAACATACAATTCTAAACAAATTATATTAGTAAAATATACTTTATTTATCATATTTTGTACAAATACTTTTATTTTTTAATAACACAAAAGGCCTTTTTAAGAAAATCTTCAGCAGTGTAAAAAATTTATTAAAATACAAAAATCTTGAAAACTTCTTAAAAAAAGTTTAAAAAGGAAGTAGTTAAGGTTTGTTTTATAAAAAAATATTATTAACAAACATATGGTAGAACTTTAATCTTATGGGAAACGAGTAAAAATAACAAGAAAGTAATTATTATCAATTTATATCTTGATTGTGTCATGTCTCTGCTTTTGCAGGTGAGCTTCTTTTATAAAAAGTAAATTCTCAAATTTCTTCACACTTTGTTAGTCAATATTTTTGGTTTAAAGGTAAAAAGTTGAGAGGGTTAACACAAATAAAAAAATAAAATCTCCTCAGCTATTGACATCTCTGTCCTTAAGGACGCGAATATACATAAAGTAAATAATATAAAATAAACAGTCTAATTATATATATTTTGTGTTAAATCCATATAGGGTTTATCTTCAAAATGTTTAAAGAAAACTATGATAAATTAAAGTGAATCACCTGGTCTTTGTTAATTTTAGACACGATTAGACTACTATTAAATTTTTACTACTACTAAATTTTTTTTTCAATAATAAATGCACAATACATTTTGAATTAAAATAACAAAGTTATACATTTTAGATTACAATTACATCAGCAACTCCATCACTTGGTGCTACACTGAAATCTTTTTATTTAAGTGTCGGTTAGAATATTTTTTTGCATTATTTATTTATTTTGTATATTACTAGTAGCAAAAAAAAAAATTATATGTTTCAAATATTTTTATGATTAACATTTTTGTTAGGTGGTAACTGCAGCTCTTGTAATGCAAATCTTATTTGTGATTCATTACCAAATGGAGTCAATTGTGTTTGTGACCCAAACACATCTTGCAAAGGTAGTAATCAACAATGCATTGCTTCGATAAATGATACATTGTCAAACCCGTGTAGTTGTTTGCCTGGTTACACTCTTGATGATAACAACAACTGTGTTGGTAAGATATTATTAAAGTTAACTTAAATATCCAGCATAACGTATATCTATAAACATATAAAAGTTTATTATAAATAGATTTTATTTGTACAGAAGGTGCATTTCAGTATATATAGTTTTAAACCAATTTCTTGAAATTTTTCTATTATTATTCCGGCCTATAATATATATATATATATATATATATATATATATATATATATATATATATATATATATATATATATATATATATATATATATATATATATATATATATATATATATATATATATATATATATATATATATATATATATATATATATATATATATATATATATATATATATATATATATATATATGTATATATATATATATATATATATGTATATGTATATGTATATATTTAAACAATTTTAAAATGTATTCTATAAAACACAGTGATCAATATTCTTATAAAAACATAACAATTATAAAGTAGTAAAAAATCACTTAGCAAAAATTTGTGATGAGTCTTTATTGTTGAAACACAGTGTTAAATGAAAAATTTTTTGCAAAGTGATTTTCTACTACTTTATATATATTGTTTGTAAAAAAAAAAGAGGTAGGGGGAGAGGTGACTTAAAATTGAGACAGTAATTTAGCTATATAAAATGCTAAATCTTTATAATAGCTATATAAAATGCCATGGCTTTCATCAATTTGAAAAGTGGGTTACTGTCTTTTTTAATAGCCTGTGATAATCATTGGGTAGACTGCCCTAATGTGGACCCAATCCTAATGTAAATCCTAGTGATATTTTGGCTTATTGTATGATTCAACTTTTTTGGATATTAGACATTTAGTTTATCAATTTTGTAAACAAAATAAGTTACAACACAGATTTAGCCAATCAAAAAATGTGCAGGAGAAAAGTGGTTTAAAGGTTTCATTAAATGTCACAGTTATGTGTCCATACGTCTACCAGAGGGCATTTCAATACAACAAGCAATTGGATTTAATAAAGTAAAAGTTGATCGTTTTTATAGTTTATTGGAGGATGTTTTATTTACCAACGCTATAAGGAAAATTCCACCAGAAAATATATAAAATTTTGATGAAACAGGAAAAACCGTTTGCTGGAAACCTGTAGAAATTTAAGTTTTAATGAGTAGTTTACTAAACAAAATGCAGTGATTGCTGATTTACTAGAACATTTGAATGTAGGTGATGTTTCACTTTTTATGAAGCAGAGATCTAATTAAAAACTACAACCAATCAAATATAATAAAGTGCTAGACTTGTCAGCTGCACATATGTCAGAAAGCATGCCACTGGCAGTCTAAATAGAGAATGTAGTTGTCATAATAGAGTCAAATACTGGAAAAAACTCTTCTATACAAAATTCTGATATTGTGAGAAAGGTGATAAAGAAAACCCAGTGATGGAAAAAAGAATTCAGAAGCAGAAAAAAAACGAGCAAAAAATCATTGCAGCAACCACTAAATGTTCAAAGAAATTAAATGTAACAAATAAAAAGAAATTAACAGAAATTAACAGAAAAGCCTAAAAAACCTGATAAAACTAAAGAAAGTAAGAGAAAATACAAGACTATTTGTCATAATCAGCCTTCAACCTCTCTAAAATATCAAAAGAAATCTGCATCAGCAATTACCAATGATTCTTGTTTGTATTGTGGCGAGTTATATCCTAGTTCTACCAATGCATAGATACAATGATAAGGACCTAATGTTACAATATTGTGTAATATAAAATAAAGTATGTGTGTGTAATATAAAATACAGTGTTATGTAATATAAAATAAATTTACAATGTTTAATGATACAATGTTAAGGACCTGCATTCTACATGTGGGCTAAAGTGTCATGTGCAGGTGTTGATAGCAAGGATATCACTTTATTTATAAAAATTGTAAGCTTACTAATTGAAAATTTGAGGAGCAGACAGTAATTGGCAATTAAAACGTGGCTGAAATAGTTGTCTAAATAAGCTTAAGCTATATAATCTTGCAAGCTAGTCTTATTATGTAAAATTTTAGTGGTGCTTTATTGTTGCTCATTATACTAGTCTCTTTATTTGTTATGATTTTTATTTTCTGTTATAATCATTAATACTTTATTGATATGTAAAATAAATTCAGCAGTTTAAAATAACTTGAAAGTTGTTTTGATTGGTATCTATGATTTAATTCACTGGAGCTATCTGAGATTATAAAACTAATTAAAATATTGACTGTTTATTAATGTTAATCAAGGGGCTACATCAGACTCTTTGAGGCTTCAGATTTGAAAGAATACTGCCTAATGTGGACCTTTTAAGAAAAATTTTATTCTAGGATGTTAGTCTAGGATGTAAGAATATTTAGAAAATAATTTCAAAATAATGTTTGTTAAGACAAGCAGGTGTTCATTGTATTATAAGTTAACTATTTATGAATTTCAGTATGATATATTTGATAAAAAGTAAATTAGCAAAAGGGGTCCACATAAATATGGTCTACCCTATGTGCTCTAAGGGTTCTGTTTCTGACTGCTGAGCATAATCATGGGCTAAGAATTGGCTTTTGTAATGTTATTTCTTATTATCTCAATATGATTATTCAGTGCTTTTCTTTGAGGATCCCTAAGACAGTAATCTCTTTGTTAAATTAGCTAAACATCACTTGTGTTAATAAAGTGTTATACTAGATCAGTCTGCTCAATTTTATGCAATCCTTGTCCAAAAACATCTTAGTTGTGGTTTAATAAAATTAATGGTTAAAAACACTTTTCAGAATCTAATGCAGCGAAGTTAGTCTTTGCTTGTAAAATTTATTGTTTGAAATTGAGTAATTGTTTTTTTGGTATTGAACTTCTCTTCAAATTGCTGTTTGATCGTCAGATATTTAAATTTCTCATCAAACTTGATTGGATGATACTTACAGTCAAATTTAAGATTAAATGGTCTATAACCCAAAACTGAGTCAGTCCTCGGAATTAGGGTCAGCATTCAGCAATGCCAACCTAACTGCTGATCTAAAAGTGTTTAAGGTCCACAAATAATGGCTGAAATCGTTTTTCTGTTTTATTGTAATCCTTTTGTGTAAAAATAATTTTGCTAACCTGATGCTGACCTCTAACAGTTTGAGTTTGGCAACTTATTGCCAATTTTTCCTAATTCTTAGGGTTGCTGGGTACATTTTTCTTAATTCTAAATGTTGCATAACTGAATGTTTGAAAGTGTAATTTTCTATGTTGATGTTACATAAAAACTGCCCAGCAAGAAGAAGCAGAGTTCAAATACCCATTTGTAAACTGCCATAATATGATAAAGGTTTGGTAGACTTGATCTCTAATATTTTCATTAATTGTGGAATTAATTATGCTACAGTTTAGCTCCAGTATCTTTAAGTATAAGAACTGGTTCATTATAAATATTGTCCAATTTTATGTCATTTCAGTAAAGTTACAGATTTTGCATGAGCATAATGGGCTCAAATGTAATAAACAGTGTACAAATAATAGAGATAATAGTTTGAACAAAACATGCAGGTGACACGGGTGAAAATAGAGTCAAAAGTTAAAAATTTTAGAAAATCAAAAACTGCAGTTGCTTATCTTATTTTACCACATTTAATAGGTTAAAATTTCAATTGTTTTTGTCAAATGGAAGTGCTACATGTAACTTTCCAAATATTGAGAAATGTCTAAACTTTATGTTATTTTTTCAGAATAAAGTATTTTTACAATTAAACTCTTGTTAAATCTTCGAAAAAAAAAGCACAGTTAAAAGTATCTTATAGTTATATCTTATAGCTTTATCTTACATTAATCATCCAACTCTAGGTTTTAGCTTTACCAGTTCAGATAAAGACATCTTTTGTTATTAGCTTTCTATGTTCCCTGATTACCAAAAGAATGTATTCTCTTTGATCCTAATTGTGGGAACTGTGAACAAAGTTTTCTATCAAACTAATATTTCTTTCTGTGCAGTTGATGGTCACACTAGGCTTGCTAAGTAACTGAATGAAATGCTTGTATGAATTTAAAGCTAGGAAATCACTTAAAGAATACCATTCTCGAATAGAATCAGTGTGACCTGTGAATGTAAAAAAAGCTAACTTTCTGTTGTTAGTAAGTCCTCTATTCTACCATTGCTGGAGACATTACCAGCAAGGAGCTTCTACAGAAATCTCTAATAACTCTATAATCAAAAATTTTAAATTCTGCTTTCAGATCAAAATCATCTAATGGTAGTACGGCAACCTTAATAAGCAAATACCATGTGTGGTTACTCATGCTTTTCTGATGTGAGTTTCCATCTTCATGATTCCATTCTATTCGAATTGTTTTAGTAAATTTTTAAAGCATATAAATCATTGAGAACAGTATAACTCTAACTCTTGCTGTATTTAAGAAAGGCAGGCTTATAGTAAATAGCTAGAATAAATGTCAGTCTAGAGACCATAGTTTTCTTTTCAGTAGTCAGATATTCAACGACTGTGGATGTCATATTGAGCATTAGTAAGAATATGGAATAGGCCATAAATTTTGGATTGTGACAGGTGCCAGGCTGATAGATGTGAAAGTTCTTTAAATTATCAGATTTAATGTACATATAGTACACCAAATATTATATGCCTATAATCATACCTAAAATATTTTTGAAAATTTAATTTCATTTAATAAAAAAACATTTTTAGAAAAAAAAACATTTTTCTATTTTTGCTATATACCTAGGAAAAACTTTGTGTTCTAATCAGCCCTGGGAAAAACGAAGTTGACAATATTTTAATCTGTTAATTAATCTGTTAGAGGTTGGCATTAGGTTGGCAATAAAATTTTATACAAAGGTTTTTACCAAAACACATAGAAACAAGGTTAGCGATTTTTTGTTGACTTCAAACACTTCCAGGTTGACAGTTAGTGAGCAGCAGAAAAAAAGCTACCTTATATATAAATATATATATATATATATATATATATATATATATATATATATATATATATATATATATATATATATATATATATACATAA